TGATTTATACAGAAAGAATTATTATGATATTTTTTTCTTTCACACACCTCCCAAAAATCTATAATTACATGCTTTAATGATTACCGTCCTGTTACGCTCACTTCCATTATGATAAAGTGTTTTGAGAGATTGGTAAAGGACTATACTGTTTCATGCCTTCCCTCTATATTTGACTCATTACAGTTTGCTTATCAGAAGAACCTGTCAAGCTACAAAACCTACTATCTTTAGGATCTCTGCATGCTTCTAGCTTGCCAACAGTGCAGGAGGGAAAGAGGGGAGAGTTTTGAATCCACAGGTGTTCCTTATCAACATGAGAGCCAAAACAGTTAAAGAGTTGTTTTGGCAAACTAAAGTTTCTTCTCATAATAATTACTGGGAGATATATTAGACAATATGACCTGAGCTGTTAGAGAGGAGTGGGAAAGTTTCAGTCTTTTATTTTTTTATAAAGATTTTATTAATTTTCTGTTACATACATATATTAATTTTTCAACCAACATGCTATCTGGGTTTAAAAACGTTAATACATACTCAGTTCCTAATCCTTCATTCTCTTCTCTAGCCATTGATAAAATAAATCCCAAGTTTGGTAATATTCTGTTTCTTCTTTATCTTTCAGTCTCATAGTTAAGCGAACAAGTTAAAGAAATAATCATAAGATGGGCGAAAAACTTTGGTTATAATATAGAACTGAAAAGTGGCAAGAGTTATGGGAAAGCAATTATAAATTGACAATGTCAACCTCGTATAAAGAAAATTTATATAAAATGTTTTATAGATGGCACTTGCCACCAGCAAGATTAGCAAAAATGTTTAAAAATATGTCAGATAGATGCTGGAAATGTAAGTACAACCCAGGTACTTATTATCATGTTTGATGGACATGGTAAGCTAAAGTTTACTGGAAAAAGATACATGCTTGGTTAGAAAAAATGTTGGGAGAACATGTTGATTTTAAACCTGAACTTTTCCTACTAGGTATAATGCCAGAAAAGATTAACAAACAAAGCCTGTATTTGATTTTATGCATCACAACAGCAGCAAAAATAATTTTTGCGCAATATTGGAAAAATGAGGGACTACCACCAGAGGAAGAATTAATCAGAAAAATATTGGAATGTGCAGATAAGTTTCATTCTTTTAATTAACTGCTTCCCATCATCTCCTCAGAGCTACCTTCATTTTTATCGTACTGGTTTGCTAATGGCTAATAAAGTTAATATTAGAGAACACAAAGCTTCTGGTATTTTGCTTCATTGGGCTTCTCAGCTGGAGCTTGACACTAAGCTAGCTCTCTAAATAATTCCAACTCCCTTAAAGAGATCCTGGGCCCCTACACCCTCTGGTAGCTTCTAGAGAGGTGGTGAAGACTGAGGAGAAGGTGCCTGAAATGGAGAAGCCGGCTGGAGCTGGGTCGGGAAAGACCAGTGGGACTCCAGCTGGGGCCAGAAGCAATTTCATAAAGCCACAGGCCTCGACATGACCCAAGGAGGGAGTTGAATGCAGGGACCTGTCCCGGAGTGGATGGGTGGAGCAGTGATGTTCAACCCACCCAAATTGGAGAAGTGGCAAGAGGAGTTACAGAAAGCTGCTGAAGCCGAATTCTCATTGTACTGCCCTCAGCCCAAACAGGGCAGAGAGCTGAAATGGTGGGAGCGAGGAGCCTCAGAGTGGACAGCATCCAGGAAGCACTGCTTGCCAAAGATGGAGCAACTGAGGTAAAGTTCAGCAGCCTGGGGGTCCATGGAGAAGAGTTGGTCCCATGGCTGGATCCTAGAAGGGGATAGGCTCGGATCCCCTCCTGGCATCAGCATCAGTCCCTTCGCCCCAGCACACAATAGGAGTAGCAGCCGTGGGGGCTGGGAGAGTTGTTAGCCCACATCCGGGGCTACTGTTGTGATTCCTCGCCAGCCAGTGGACCCGACAGCTGAATCAGAGGAGGAAGAGGGGCCTGGAGTGACATCAGAGTCAGAAGAAGGCTCTGAGGCACTCCAAGACTTACAGTCTGACGAGGAGCCTGGCCTCTCTACTCGTGCTCAGGCTAAGACACAGCTGTGCTGGGCGTCTGAGTTGGACAGTGATGACTCACACCTGGAAGATATCCAGGATGCATATAAATGCTGGCAAGAAAAGAGAGTCGGACAGAGGAATGCAATGGGGCAGCTCCAAAGGCAAAGGAGAAGGCATTAGGAAGCCATGCCTTGACTGCATAATAAAAGGGAAGGTGTGGGACTTCCGGTGTTTAGCGCTGCTGCGATGGTGGCTTTTCTTTGAGCCGCCCGTCTTAGTTTGCGAAAGAGCTCACAGAACAGTGACAATCAGCTGTTCTGCAGCTTGGAACTTTCCTCCCGGGCGAAGGGAGGAAAGGGAGCTTTCGCCAAATAGAAGTTGAGCTCCTCTGGTCTCCTAGATTTCTTTCTGGGAGACAAAGAGTGAGAGATCCTTCAGAGTCTGGGATTTCTCTGCATCCTGGGACGCCTTTTTTCTCCAGAATGGGAGAACGGAGCAAGAAGCTGCCTACACCGCTGCTAAATCAAGAGGAATTGTTAGTAAACACAGAAGCAGACGGAGCAATACAGGAGAAAGAGTACTTGATTTTGAATCTCAACCTTAATTCAAGAATTAATATCTTCCCTAATTTGTATTTTAACAAGAAGGGCATAGAAGGGGAAGAAGGGGAAGAAAAAAAGGGGGGGGAAATGGCAGAGGAACTCTCTGTCTCTGTGTGAAGACTTTCACTTTCTCCGACATTTGCAACAAAGTTTTTTTTAGAGTAATAGACCTAGCCTATTGAAATTGTTACAGTTTGTATATAGAGGCAGAAATCCTAAGATTGTAAACTGATAAGGATGGCTTCAAAACATTTGACTTCTGCAGTTCCTAAAGTTTCTATTTCCTCTACATTAATTCAGACTCAGACTGTCTCTCAGCCCAAGCCAAAAACACCTCTTCTTTCTCCCCTACCTGCAATTACACTCAAAGATTTACAAGAAGCTTTAAAAAAGAATGCTTTGGACATTAAAGAGGAGGTGGCTGATCTTTTGGATTGTAAAATGGCATCAGAGAGGGCTGTTATGGCAGAATTATTGGAGGCAAAAATAAAGAAATGAGGGAAGATGTAATTTTAGCATTTCAAGGTTTAGCTATGCATATTGAGAGAATTGATGACAAATTGGAAGAGGTGACTGAAAATGCAGCAAGACTGGAAAGCAGGGTTGAAGAGGTTGAGGACAAGATAGATATGACACAAGATGAATTAATTATTTCACAGTATAGAGACATGGAATTTGCACTGCGTATTAGAGGGATGAAAGAAAATCAGCAAGAAGACCTGAAGGAGGTAATTTCTAAAGATATTGCCCTTAATCTGGGATGGAAATCGGAAGAAATTCGGAATGAGATAGAAAAAATTTTCAGAGTTAATTCATGGGTTGCCAGACAAATTTACCTAGAGGTGTGGTTATCTACTTTTCAAGAAGATCTATAAGTAATGAAATTTTACAGGCTTTTTATAAACAGAGGTTCCAAATTGCAGCCCAAGATGTTATAATTTTAAAAGCGATACCCCCAAAAATTTTAAGAAGAAGAAAAGATTTTGCTTTTTTGTCTGAGGAGTTAAAACGTCGTCAAATTCAGTTTAGATGGGAGATTCCAACTGGAATAGTAGTGAATTATGAAGGAAAGCGTTACAGATTAACTACAGTTTCAAAGGCAGAAGAATTTTACAACTCTGTTTTGAAGGTAAGTTCCTCCTTATCTTTACAAGCTAGTAAAATTGAAGAAGAGCAGATAGTAGGAGGAGCAACTTCAGTGATTGTTAGAGAAGTACAAGGTCAATATGATGTACAGAATTTGGAGATAAAAGAACAAAGGATGACAAGAGCTGTGCACAAACATAGAGAGAAGCAGCAGAAGAATAGTGAAACAACAGTAGGTATTACTACTACAGAGTCTGTGGGAGGAGCAAGACCAAAAAGATCCTCAACTATAGATCTTCAAGCTATGCTCCAGAGCAATGGTTCTCAACCTTTCTAATGCCGCGACCCCATAATACAGTTCCCCATGTTGTGGTGACCCCCAGCCACTTATACATCATCGGGTGCCAGGGGCGTGGCCAAAGAAAAGGGGGAAAAATGGCGGACAGCCTTGTTTGGCGACCCCTGTGAAATGGTCATTCGACCCCAAATGGGGTCCCGACCCACAGGTTGAGAACCACTGCTCCAGAGGCTTCAGGTCGGTAAGGATGGCAAAGCTCCTGACATGGAATGTTAATGGATTGAACTCACCGCAGAAAAGGAAAAAAGTTTTTCATTATCTGAAGCAACATAATAATGACATAATATGTTTGCAAGAAACTCATATAACTTTAAAAGATTCTAAATATTTGACTAATTCTCGTTTGGGATCACATTTTATGGCTCCAGCTCCAGGGGAAAAGCGGGGTGTTGTAATTTATGTGAAGAAAAATTTATTGGCTGAATTAATAGAATCTGATCCTCAAGGAAGATATGTTTTTATAGATTTACTACTACGAGGCAAGAGATTTCTTATTGTCGGATTATATGCCCCTAATCAACAACAGAAGCAATTTTACAAGTTTTTGCATGGAAAAATAACTCAGTTGGATTATAAATCTGTAATTATGATGGGAGACTGGAATGGAGTTCTGGATTCAGGAAAGGATAAAAAGGGTACTTTTAAAATTTTTACCCAATCTAAATTACTTAAAGCCTTTTTTGATATGAAAGATGAGTTGGAACTTATTGATGTTTGGCGTGAAAGGAATATAAATGACAGAGATTATACTTTTTATTCGGACAGACATCAATCATTTTCAAGGATTGACTTTATTTTAATTTCCAATGATCTTTTCTCCAGGGTCAAGAAGCTTAAGATTTTTCCTAGGACATTGTTGGATCATAGTCCTGTGTGGTTGAAGTTATTTCTTGAAGATGGGAATAGAAGATCCTGGAGATTGAATGAGAATTTGTTCACTCGGGAGGAGTTTATTCAAAAATGTAAAGAACATTTGAAGGATTTTTTTGTTTTAAACATGAATAAGGGAACATCAATGCCTATGGTGTGAGATGCTAGTAAAGCTTATATGAGGGGCATTTTGATTCATAAGAATAATGTTTTTAGGGGTAATTTGACACGAAAATGTAAAAAATTAGAAGAAGAGATTAAATTAAAAGAAGAAGCTTTTGTTTTGAATCCGACGGATAATAGGTTAAAGGTTGCTATAAATACGCTTAGGGCACAATTCAACATGATGTCAGATCAGGTGGCGACAAATTTGCGTTATATGAAATATAATACTTTTTGTAATGCAAATAAACCTGGGAGATGGTTAGCTTATCAATTACGTAAGAAACAGAAAACAAGAATTATAGAGAAAGTAAAATATAAAGGCACTGAGGTTTTTCAATATAATTTGATTAAAAAGAGTTTTTTAGATTTTTATACAAAATTATATGCTAGTGACAATATACATGTTGCAGGAGTAGAAAAGTATCTACAATCAGTGCATTTTCCTAAACTTTCTAATGATCAACAAATTATGATGAATTCTCCAATCACTTCAGAGAAAATTGGTTTAGCTATTAAGCAGTTAAAAGTGGGAAAGTCTCCAGGTACAGATGGATTGACGACAATGTATTATAAAATTTTATCTGAGGAAATGATGGAGCCATTAAAGGAGCTTTTTAATAGTATTTTGTTGGGAGCTCAAGTTCCCCCTTCATGGAGAAGCACGTTTATATCATTGATCCCGAAGGAGGATCAAGATCTTACTGAACCTAGGAATTATAGGCCTATATCTCTTTTAAATGTGGATTATAAGATTTTTTCAAAAATTTTGGCAAATAGATTAATGGAGGTAATGAAGGACTTGATTCATTATGATCAATCAGGATTTATAACAGGAACAAATATGAAATATAATGTAAGGCAGATTCTTAATTTAATAGAGTATTTGGATAAGAATAATCAGATCTCTGTGGCCTTTATATTTCTAGATGCTGAGAAAGCTTTTGATCAGTTAGATTGGAAATTTTTATTTTTATTGATAGAGAAAATGAATTTTGGAGATAAGCTTTTACATGTTATTAAGGCTATGTATCAGCAACAGTCTGCTCAAATTATTATCAATTGGGGTCTGACTGAGACTTTTAAAATTGAAAAGGGAACAAGACAAGGATGTCCATTATCTCCATTGTTATTTGTTTTAACAATGGAGATTTTGTTAATTCAGATTAGAGAGTCAACGGTAATTAAGGGAATAAAAGTAAACAGGAATGAGTATAAATTGAGAGCTTTCGCAGATGATTTGGTTTTAACTTTAGCACAACCTACTCAAGCAGCTGGTCATTTGTTGAAAATTATATCTCAGTATGGAAAAGTTTCTGGTTTTAAAATAAAGAATAATAAAACTAAAATTTTATCTAAAAATATGTCTAATAAGGAAAATGAAATTTTAGTTAAACTTACAGGTTTTCAGATGGTGAAAAAAGTTAAATATTTGGGAGTATATATAACAGCTTCTAATGGTAAATTATATAAGAATAATTATGAATTATTATGGGCAAAAGTACAAAAGGATTTAAATGATTGGAAAAAGTTGCAATTGTCGTTGTTGGGGAGAATATTAGCGGTAAAAATGAATGTTCTACCAAAGTTTCTTTTTTTGTTTCAAATGTTACCTATTCTAAAAAAGATGCAAACTTGGATGAGTGGCAAAAGAGTATTAATAAATTTATCTGGAATGGGAAAAAACCAAGGGTAAAGTTTAAGATTTTGCAGGATGCCCGAGAAAGAGGTGGGCTTAAAGCACCCAATTTGAAATTATATTATGATGCAACCACCTTAACTTTGATAAGTGATTGGCATAATTTAACAAATAAAGATGTTCTTTCTATTGAAGGGTGGGATTTACTGTATGGTTGGCATGCATATTTGATTTTTAATAAGAAAGTTGATCGGGCTTTTAAATTATATATTTTAAGGAATACTTTTCTTCGAGTTTGGAAGAAGTATTATTATAGGTTAAATTATAACATACCTATTTGGGGGATTCCTGGACATGTAATTGAGGGTGTTTCTAAGGGGATGAATTTTGATAAAATTTCATATAAGGAGTTATTAATTTGGTCAGGTAAAGATTGGCAGTTAAAATCTTTAGACGTATTAAGACAAGAAAACATTTTATACTCATGGTTTCATTACGCACAAATTGTGGATAGGTGGACAGTAGATAAGAAAGTTGGAATAACATTAGGAGATGAAAATCTGATCGTTCAGATTAAAGATCAGAATCATGTTCATATTAAAAGAATCTATGATGAGTTAATAAAATTGGATTCAGAAACAGAGTTAGTAAAAGATTGTATGATTAAATGGGCTCAGAATATCCAGGAACCGATCTTATTGGATCAATGGGAGAATATTTGGATTAGAAGTGTTAAATTTACACAGGCCCAAAATCTGAGAGAAATTTTTTATAAAATGTTTTATAGGTGGCATTTGGATCCTAAAAAATTGGCTTGTATGTATCCTAACTTACAGTCCAAATGTTGGAGGTGTGGTAGTACTGATGCAACTTACTTTCATGTTTGTGGACCTGTAAGAAGGTTAAAGCTTTCTGGATAATGATTTGATGGAACATTCAAAAGATTTTTAAAAAGAAGATAAAGTTTACTCCTCAACTATTTTTATGGGTATTTTTATGGATTTAGATGTTAATGAAACTATTTTAATGTTGAATTTAATAACTGCAGCAAGATTACTTGTAGGTTTATATTGGAAGAAGGATTTGCTTATTTCTGCTTATTTAATGGACCATACACAAGAAAAATTTATTATAGTGTGGAGAAGGTGGATAGATTATATTCAGAATAAATACGGAACTTTAAAGTTCCATTTATTTTATGATTAATTTTTTCTTGAAGTTATAATTACTGTTTATAGATTTTTATAATATTTGATTTATAGTAGATTTGTTTATGCTGTTGTTGTTATTATTATTATTACTATTTAAGTTTAGAGAGAGTTAAGGATAGTATATGAATTTGTTTATTGTACAGAATTTTTTTGTTGTTGTTTTATTGTGTTTGTTTTGTTTATAATAACCCTGTATTTTGCTCTGGGAAGTGGAGGGGTGGGAGGGAGGGGTGGGGGGGGATTAAGTATATATAGAAATATTAAAGTATGAAATAGATGGAGTAATTTAGAGGGAGGTGCCGCTCGGGTGTTTCACCTGAACTGTATCTGAAGAGGGATAAGAGGGGAGGAGGAGGGAAGGAAGGAAGTTGGATGGGAGGAAGAGGTGAGGAGAGAGAGGAGAGGAGAGAGGGAGTAGGGAAGGAAGGAAGGACGGTTGAAAGGGCAGATGCAGTCGGGGGGAGATAGACGAGCGACACCTAAGGTCTTATTTTAAAGGTATTTTTCTCTTTTTTAGTTTTATATATAATGTATGGAAAGTATTATATGTATTGAAAATTCAAATAAAATTTTTAAAAATAAAAGGGAAGGTGTGGGAGGTGCTGGTTGCCAAAGGCAACCGTTCATGTTAAGGAATCAAGTTTCTGTGAACTGTGTTTTGTTTGCCTTGGACATTGACTCAAGTCTGAATAATAAAAGGGGATTGGTTTTTTCCTGTGGTTCTAGCCTGCTTGTTGGAAGAGGGGTTTCTCCTTAACAAGGACTCACGTAGGCTGGGACAGAATAGCTACCTCCCCAACCCAGTCCCAGTCTGGGACAGAGAGCCCGCAATCCACCACCGGTGCCTGGTCCTGAACCTGGGGGCGCAGGCTGGTGACCACTGCCGGCCCCCTGGTTTGAGGCTCACCCATGGAGGTACCCATATAGTGGGGCCTGGATACCTGGATTTTGGCCAGCACCAAGGCCACCTCTGCTGCCACCACTGAAGGCAACATTCGATGGGAACCCTGAGAAACTAGCGTTCTTCCTCATTCAAGTCTGAACCCATCTCAACCAACATGGAGATTACCTTAATGACCAAGCCCAGGTGGATGTTGAAGGTGCCCCTATGATGAAGGTGCCCCTGAGCTGGCAGATCCAGATGTTTTTTTTTAGGCCTCAGGGCCCGATTAAGGGACCCTGCACAGACCCAATGAGTGGAAGTGGAGGTCCGGAAGGTCAAACGGGAATAGATCCATGACTAACTATATTAGAGACTTCAGGAGGCTGAGGCACTGCCTAGAGCAGCTCTTGACCCAGTACTTCTGAGAGGGGCTGAACCACAACCTGTTTCACATGTGTCTGACCTGAAGAATCCCAAACCGACTTAGTGACTGGTACCAGCTAATCACTGCTGTGGAGTTAGACCTGGCAATGTACAAAGACAGTGGGGGCTCCAGACTGCAACTGAAGAAAAGCCAACAGAGGTGCACTTTAGGGGAAAAAAACTGCTAGAAGCAGCGTCCCTGGTTCCTGCAGGACCAGCCCACTGCGCCCCCATCATGTGCTTTCACTGTGGCCAGAAGGGTGACAGGGCCATGATGTGCCCACCACAGGCTCCTCGGATGGCTCCCATAGCAGTGACTCCCTTTAAGCCAAAGAAGCCACCAAAGAAGGGGAAGGAGAAATCACAACCTAGGTCTCCCTCCCCCTGAGAACAAAGTGGATGGAATTTCAACTGAAGAGGGACCGCTGATGGTCCTTTGTGGCAGTGAGAGTGAGGGAGAGGACGACCTAATTGTGAGTGGACCTGTCAACCACCTTGAAGTTAGGGACGACCTCAAGGCATCTCTCTCAGGGGCAAGGGGGATGTTAAAGGCCCTCATAGACTCTGGCTGTTCCTGTTGCCTAATTAGTCAAGCCACAGTGCAGAGGCTAGAACTACATGTGAGAAAACTCAAGAAATCTGTGAAATTCAAACAGGTTGATAACATGCTGATAGGAGGCAAGGCCACTTCCCATCTGATGGAGCAGGTGCAGCTAGACAGCAGAGGATATGATCCTGGGCCTGGCTTGGTTAGCCAAGCAGGTGCCCTGGATCTATTGGGAGAAAGCCTCAAAGCAAATGATTATGAGAAAGCAAGCCCTGAGCTACCATGACAAGCGAAAGAAACACCCCGAGAAGGTGGGGGGGGGGGTGTGAGGAAAACTGAGCGTAGCAAGGGAGCATCAGAGGGGAAGAGCAGAAATCCATCCTGAGGGAGTACTGAGACCTCATGGAGGCATTCAGTGAGAAAGAACGCAACATCCTCCCCCTTACCACCCCACAGACTGTACTATCGAGATCCTGCCCAGGGTGAAATTCCCCAAACCCAAGATGTATTCCATGACTATGAAGGAGATGAAGGAGCTGAGGGACTACATTGATAAGAACTTAGAGAGAGGATTAATTCAGGTGGTGAAATCTTGAATATGGCACTGGTACTCTTTAAAGAAAAGAAAGATGGGTCTCTGAGTTTGTACGTGGATTTCCATGGGATTAACAGAGTGTGCATGGAGGATATGTACCCGCTCCCTCTTCATGAAGTTAGACATGATGGAGGCATACTAATGAGTGAGGATTAAGGAAGGTGATGAGTGGAAGACAGCCTTCAACTGCCCCCTTAGTAGCTACCAAATCAAAATGATGCATTTTGGGCTACAAGGGGCCCTGCTGTGTTCATGCAACTCATAAACAAGGTGTTGCATGAGCATCTTTATAAGGGGGTTCTAGTGTACCTTGATATCCTCATTTACACTGAAACCATGGACAAGCATGTGACGCTTCTGTGACAGGTGCTAAAAAAGCTATTGAACGCTAAGCTTTATGCCAAACTGTCTAAATGTGAGTTTCACAAACCTAGACTGGACAACTTGAGTTACCATGTGTTGTACAAGGGAATAGAGATGGACCCAGGGAAAGTGAAGTCCATCTTGGAGTGGCAAGCTGCACCTGCAAGCAACTGCAAAGTTTCCTGGGATTTGCAAATTTTTACAAGCAATTCATCCCCTCTTTCACCAAAAGTGCCTTGCCAATCACTGAGTTGTTAAAGACTGGAAAAAGGGGTAGGGAGAAGCCTCAGCCAAATCAGCCCTTGAACTGGATGATGGAATGCCAAGCAACATTCAAAAGATTGAAGGGGCTATTTGCCATGAAACCAGTGCTAAAGCACCTAAGCCCCAAAAAGCCTTTCGTGATCCAGGCTGATGCCAGTGACATGGCTGTGGGAGCCACCCTCCTCCAACGCAATGGAGAGGGGAACTTACAGCGAGCACGTATGCATCTCGCAAACTAAATGAAATGGAACGACAATGGGCTGTATGGGAGAAAGAGGCTTTTGCGGTACAGTGGGCACTGCTAACTTGGAGACAATTCTTGGAAGGAAGCAAAGCCCCTTTGAAGTGTGTGGATTGATCATTAGTTTAAGCCCTGAACACACACCCCCGCACACTTTCTTCTAAACAAGTCAGATGGGTGCAGTATTTCAAAAGATTTGATTTTGAACTAAAATACATCCCAAGAGGGAAAAACTTCCTGGCTGATGCTCTATCCCGCATGCCACAATACAAAAGCACCCAGCAGGAGATAATAAGTGCTGTTGTTCCTGATAGCCAATAAGTGGTGCAAGCAACAACCAGATGGCAGGAAAAAAAGAGAAGGTCACCCCCCACCAATGCATTTGCACAACAGTTGAAGCAAGAGCTGTAAACCAATGCATGGTTTGTGGCTCACCAGAAAGAGTTGACCATGAGGGAGGGATAGACCTATTTTCCAAACAGGCCCATTTCATTGCCTGTATTGGCCTCCCCTTAGCCCAGAAACTAGTGAAGATGTTTTTGCAACACATCTACTGACTGCATTTCAGATCGTGGGGTGCTGTTGACTGCTACTGGAGGGAGTGTGTGAAAATGATTGGGTCCTTCCAGGGGCTCATTTCTGCTTTTCATCCAAGTACGAATGGATCAGCAGAATGAGCTAATGCCATAGTGGAGCAGTACCTGTGCTGCTATGTTAACAACCAACAAACAAACTGGACAGAGTTGTTGCCATTTGTAGAGGTGGCATATAACAATGCAGTGCAACGCAGTATTGGTTTCACTCCATTTAAGTTAGCCACAGGGGTGGAATTTGTGCCAATACCAGACTGCACTTAGGAGCCTTCCTTCTTGAGCACCCTTAAGCGGTTGGGTGGGTTCGTTCGAGTGGATCTGGGGCAATGCAAAGAAGGCTTAAACTAAGGCAGCTGAAAGTCAGAAAAAACAGGCAGATAAGAAACGAGCTCTCCAGGAGACGTTCCATGTAGGGGATAAAGTGTATCTGTCTACAAAATATCTTAAGCTGATATAAAGTTGGAAGAAGTTAGGACTGAAGTACATAGGTCCTTTCCCCATAGTAAAAGTCATTAACCCAATGACAGTAGAACTGAGACTACCAAGGTTGTTGGGTAAAGTGCACCCAGTATTCCTCTGCAGCTTACTGAAGCCATACAAAAATCCACACTGAGACCAATAGGGACGGTGGCCCCTTCCCCAATAGTGTTAGAAGGTGAAACACATTATGAAGTTAAGCAAATTGTCGATTCCAGAAACCATAAGGGGAAGTTGCAGTATTTAATCCAATGGGAGGGTTACCTGATGTCAGAATCTAGATGGGTAAAACAATTGCTAAAACAATTCCATACGAAATACCTCCAGAAATTGGTACAAGGGAAGGATTAGCAGGCATTGTTTTGTTTTTTTTGTTTTCCAGGTTTCCTTTCCTTCTTGGGGGGGGGGGGCGATCTGTCAAGCTATGAAACCTACTGTCTTTAGGAGCTCTGTATACTTCTAGCTTGCCAACAATGCAAGAGGGAATAAGGGGAGAGTTTTGAATCCCCACAGGTGTTCCTTATCAACATAAGAGCCAAAGCTGTTGAAGAGTGGTTTTGGTGAACTAAAGTTTCTTCTAATAATAATTACTGGAAGATATATAAACAATGTGACCTGAACTGTCAGAGAGGGGAGGGAAAATACAAAGTGCTAAAATATATTGTATGTAGGTCCTAATAAGGCAGGACCTCCCATCCATTATTATTATTATACACAAAAGTGTGAAATCACAACTACTAGTTCTTCATCTAGTGTTGACCTTCATACAGGTAGTTCTTCAGCTGATGTTGGCCTTATTTCTTTCTAAGAATCTAGGATGTCTTAATGTATCAGCATAATATGTTTGTGGATCTTTTATAATTGAGGTGGAAATTTTGTCAATGTACAAATTTTCTAAGTGCTATCCAAGATATTTTGATATGGCACCTGGTGTGCTGATAACCACTGGGACCAGCACAGCCAATTTATACTATAATCACTCCACTTTGATTTTTTTTTAAACACAGTTGTATAGTAGTCACATGTAAAGGTTTTTATTCTTCCCCCTTATTTGAATCTTTTAATGCATCCCCTTCAAATAAACATATTCTTGGTTTTGAACCTAATTTTAGAACACAATTATTGAGAAATAATGGATAGTCTTGCTTTTTTTAAAAATTGGACCATTTTTCCTACTTTAAATAAGTTTGGGGATGGATCTATGTTATATATGTAATTTGCCATCACATCTGAATTACAATGCATCTTAAATAATTTTCTCAAATTCTACCCCCCCCCCCTCTTATTATTTTGTTTGGTAATAGATCCTCTTTTGTGGCATGGAAATATCCAGCACAGAACCATTCAGTGACTGACATGGGTTACTTCAGCTTTTTGTTTTCAATTCTTACAGGTAATTGCTACAGATTTACTATCATAATGTTGCTGGAGTATTTGGAAGACAAATTTTGCATAAAATGTATTTATTTTCACTTGCTGACCTCGCTTGAATTTAGTTATCTGTTCTATGTTTTCTGTTGCATTCTATTTCCATTAATCCAAATGATAAACATATTCTTTATTGTTCCAAATGTGCAGCCATATTTGAAGTACTGGTCAGTTTCAGAATAAAGAGCAGTAAAATTAAAACGTTAGAAGTTGCTGAAACTCCCCAAATAATTGCTATAAACATGGCTTGCGGGAAATAGAAATAAGAAATAAGGCTAGGCAGGCCTTTAAACTGTTTTTAATAAACTTATGTTATTCAAAGAGAAATTCAGTGATTAGTAAAATATTTTTGCAGATCTGAACTTCATAATCAATCGTAGTCATTATTCTCCAGAATTTTACCAGAATTTGATTCAGTCTTGATTCTTTTTTATATGACAGCATTCCTTATAGGTGGTCCTTGCTTAATGACCACTCGCTCAACGTCTGTTCAAATTTGCAAATGGCATTGAAGAAATGGTACTTCTGCTATTTATAGTGTCCCTAGAATCATGTGATCTAGTCCTAAAATTAGATGAAAAGGATCAAGCTAATTAAATAAACACACTTATTCATTTATTTATGGAGCAAAATGATCCAAAGCTACAAATTTACATTTCAAATTTCTTTACTAGAGTCTTTGAGAAGACTTTCCAAAGCTACATATTTGTATGCATTAAAAGTATGCTATGTTTGCTTTCGGTAACCAGTATGTTCCCCTTGGGCAGCAATAATTGCTGCCATTCTAAAACATTAACTTTCTTATACTTTAATCATTATTTGGTTGTACAGTGTGTATTTTGGCTTATTATCTTGCTGTATGACCCACTTACTTTTGAGCTTTAGTTCACAAACAGCTATTTGGAAATAGTTCTGTAAATGCTTCCAGCCTGTGAGTTTCAAGATTCTAGAAATCTTTGCTTCAGCCAATAAGATCAGAATTTGATAGCAAAATTCTGTTCTTTAAATAAGGCAAGACCTCCCTTACTCACACCCAATTCCCATCTCAATGGTTGAAACACCTGGCACTAATTTTCTTTTCAAATGAACGGATAATCCTAGAGGTTTGCATACTTTTGCCACACAGAAATACTGTATGTAGCTTTGGGTCATTTTCTCAATTAAAAAAATGAACTAATTTTATTTTTCTCATTTGTTTAATTCGGTTTTCTATATGCTTGGAGGGAAGCATGCCATGAAGTCTCTCAAGGTTCTGACTTTGGCCCAATGCTCTTCAATATCTTCATAAATGATCAGGATGAGGGCATTGAGTAGGCATTTATCAAACTTGCATATAACACCAAGCTGAAGGATCTTGACAAACTGAGCATCAGACTCTATCCAACAAGATGCAGTTCAGTGATGAGAAAAATAATCTCCGCCTAGATCAGTGGTTCTCAACCTGTGGGTCGGGACCCCATTTGGGGTCAAACGACCATTTCACGGGGGTCGCCAAACAAGGCTGTCCGCCATTTTTTTCCCCTTTTCTTTGGCCACGCCCCTGGCACCCGGTGATGTATAAGTGGTTGGGGGTCACCACAACATGGGGAACTGTATTATGGGGTCGCGGCATTAGAAAGGTTGAGAACCACTGGCCTAGATGCAGGATAAATCAAATACATAATAGGCAGCACCTGGCTCAGCAGTAGTACTTGTAAGAAGGATCTAATAGATATCCTAGTAGACCACTGCTTAAGTATGAGTCAGCAATGTGCCACAACTGTCAAAAAAGCCAATGCTGCATTAACACAGGGATTGCATCAAGATAACGAGAAGTCATAGTACTGCTTTATACTGCTCTGGAATATTGCATCCACAATATAGAAAATATGCTGAGGGCCTTAGAAAGGGTGCAGAGAAGAGTAACAAAGATGGTAAGGGTTTTGGAGACTAAAGTGTATGAAGAAGGAAACTAGATATGTTTAGCCTAATGAAGAGATGTAAGTACTAGAAGGTGACATAGCTATCTTCTAATACCCGAAGGATTGTCACAAGGAAGAAAGGGTCTGATTATTCTTCATAGCACCTAAGGGCAGGACAAGAAGTAAGGGATGGAAGATTATTAAAAATAGATTCAGCCTAGAATTAAGGAGAAATTTCTTGAGAGTGAGAACAGTTAAATCGGTTGAATAGTTTGCCTTTTGAAGTTGTGGGTGCTCCATCATCTTTCAAGAAAAGATTGGACAACCATTTGATCTGAATGGTATAAGAACTCCTGCCTTGGGCAGGAGATTGGACTAGGAAACCTTAAAGGTCCCTTCCAGCCCTATGATCCTATGGTTTTTGTTTTAGGATTTGAGTAAAGAATAGATCATGTTTTAGGCTATATTTATGGAGAAAGATTGAAAGAGTTCACAAACCTTTAAATAACACTGTAATCATTTATTAAATGAAGTGAAACATTGAATGTTGAGTTTCTATTTTGTTTGTAAGAACCATAGAGAAAAGTAATAGCTATTCACTTTGAAATGTGCTCCTAATAGGATTCTTTATCATCATTTTCAGGTTTTTCCAGTGAAGAATTGAGTAACCTTCAGAACATTAGGGGAAAACCACACATAAACCAAACACTGCTCTCTCCTGTCCAACTCTATTTAACAGATTTGGAGCAATTTTCATATCATTGGACTATGGCAGAGGTAAAATTTTCTACACTGAAAAGAATCTTCCTGATTTTGCATTTATCCTAAAATGAAGTTTTTATGCACTTACTGTTAGTGAGAAATTGATCTTGTAAGGACCTGCCTCAATCCCTCTTCCCAAGAAAGCAGAACTCCTGAACAGCTTCATTCCAAAAGGAACTTTTATTAGGAGAAATTAACAGCAGGCATAAAAGGCAGGATCGGAGAGTTTCCCGCAAGAATCAATAGGTTAAAAGAGTAACTGGTAAACCCCATCCCAATAGTCAGTTTGGCCAGTTCAAACAGCCCAATCCCCAGGTGTGAATCTGCTGTGGGAACAGAATTGATAAGGCGCCGTTCCCAAGGCTTTTAGATTGTTAGGTCTTCACGCCTCTTCTTCCACAGCGAGAGATAAGGCAGATGGCCAGAGGCACATTCTATTTTCACCTCAAGCCGGCATTAAGGAAAATAGATCAAAGAGCAAGTAGAGAAAGTTAAGCAGAGAGGATACATTGTAGCACCCATAGCTCCCTTCTCCCCCCAGGGTTATGGCAGAACTCACAAGAAGAAAGAAATCAACCCCCACCCAACAACCGGGTTCTGACAGATCTGTTTGATGAAAGTGAAATGTAAGATGTAAATATAAAAATATAAAATATTAATACTTTTATCTTAATATTTTATATTTATATAACATATATTTTAAGCCACTCAGAGTGCCTTGCAGTGAGATGGGTGGCAAACAAATTTAATAATAATAATAATAAGAGGCTAATTCTGGGTGCAGAAGACCAAGTTTAAGAACAAATGCATACAAAGCCAGAACTGAGAAAACATCAAATGTCACCTCTACAAAGAAGCTGAAGAAACCGGACCATCTGGTTAGCTGTTGCAAGAAGCTCACAAAGACTGAGTACCAAAAAATGGTATGACAGAGTAGTAACAACTGTGCATTGGAAGATCTGCAAGAAATACCATTTGCCTACAAGCAAGAACTGGTGGGACCAAAAAAATAGAGAATGTCGTAGAAAATGAAGAAGCTAAAATGCTCTGGTACTTTAGAATTAATACAAACAGACATCTTCCACATAACACACCAGACTTAGCAATTATTGATAAGAAAGACAAAAAAGTCTGAATAGTGGATGTCACGTGGCACTACCTGAGACAGCAGAATAGAAGAGAAGAAACTGGAGATGATAACAAAATACAAAGACCAGCAAATAGAAGTAGAACAAAAGAAATCAAAGATAGTACCAAATGTAATAGTCACCTTGGGTGCAATCTGAAAACAACTGAAGCACCATTTGAACAGTATTGACATTGATAAATTCACGATTAGTGCAAAAGACTGCTTTGCTTGGAACAGCTTACATTCTGCAACCAACTATTAAGACTATCAAATATCTACATCTATGTATCCCAGGTTGTTGAGAAGGACTTGATTGGTAGATAAATTATTAAATCCATACTGAACATCTGGCTGACTGTGCAATGAACCAAACAACAGTAATTATATAAAATATAAAAGGAAAAAGGAATGACATAGTACTATGCTAATAGGTTTGTACCATTTTGTTAATCAGTTAGCTAAAATGTGCAGAAAGTACATTACTATGGGACTTTAATTACCCTGACATTAACCTGGAAGATAAACTCTGTGCGGAATGGAATGTCAAACAAGTTCCTAAATAACCTAGCAGACAACCTAGTCATCCAAAAGGTAGAGGAGTAGAGGAAGGAACCAGAGGGTCAGGTGTACTGGACTTAATTCTTTCTAATAGGGATAAAATGATAGAAGGGGTTGAACTGGCAGGAATTTGGGAAGAGAGTGATTATATTGGAATTCAACATAATGCAGGGACAAGTATTTGAAAAAAGTCAAGAAGGCTAACTTCAACAAACTTAGAACTTAGGAAGGATTCCATAGATAGAGCTCTTGAAGGGGAAAACAACTCAAGTCAAATACAGTAAAAGGGGAAAAATATAAAAAATTGTAATAGGGACACAACTAAAACAGAATACTGTAAATAGCCCAAATCTGCAAGGATGAAGTCAGGAAAATTAAGCCTCAGAGTAACTAAAACTAGCAACAAATGCCAATAATAATAAAGCATGTAAAAAAGAAGGAAATGATTGGTCCATTAATGGGAGAGGACAGCAAAGTAATAATGGCTAGCAGGGAGGAAGCTGAACTGCTTAATTCATTCTTTATGCAAAAATAGTCCAACCTATCAAAAGCAGTACAGCAGAAGACAGAAGAGGAATACAAGTCAAATGGGCAAGAAAATGGTAACTGAATCATATCTTTCAAAGCTCCCGGAGCAATGGAAAACTGCCAGAGGACTGGAAAAATGTGGATGTGTTTCCTATCTTCAAAAGGGCTATGCACAGGAGATGCCCTCACAATCTGAGAGATTTGGAGTGCTTTTGCAAGGAAGATTCCCAAGGAAAATGTGCCCTGCTGAGAAGTTCCTACCCCAAAGGGCTGAACACTGTCATAAAGTCAAAAGGTGCTTCAACAAAATATTAGTTTAAGGGTGTGCACACTTATTCAATCACATTATTGTACGTTTTTTACTTTTACCCCCCTCCCCCCCAAAAAATATTTCAGTTTGTTTTTCTATTGAATTGTACAGCTAATATGTTATATTAAAGGTGGAAAGAATTCTGAAGTGATTGATGTTGGTCTGATTTTTTTTTTTTACATCTCAGAAACCTGGCATTTTAATAGCAGTGTGTAGACTTTTTATATCCACTATAGTTACATGTGGTTCTTGACTTAAGCGATCTTTTGAGATTACAACAGCTTTGGAATAGTAGCCTGAAGTCCTGTAAAGCAACTCTGCCTGTTGTAAGGTCGTATGATCACATGTCAAGCAGGTCAGGTTTATGACCAGATGTTTCATGGTTACCATAATTTGATTTTTCTTTTTGCTGGTTTCCATCAATAAACATCTAATTCTGCTGACTGCCAGCAGTTTGATTCCCACCTGCTCAAGGTTGACTAAGCCTTCCATCCTTCCTAGGTCTGTAAAATGTGGACCCAGATTGTTGGAGGCAATATGCTGACTGTGTAAACCGCTTAGAGAGGGCTGTAAAGCACTGTGAAGCAGTATATAAGTCTAAGTGCTATTGCTTTAGCTAACTATTCAAATAAATGGGCTTGCTTAATAATTGCTACACTCTTTTAAAAACTGCCACATTTTACTTAATGAAAAAGGCCAGAAATTATTGGTCATGTGGGTATTTCATTTTACAATCCTAACAATTTATGATTGCATTTCCAGTCCCAATTACAATCATAAATTGTACATACAAAATGATTGGGATGCTGATTTACTAAAGGCAGTGATTTTTTATTTGTAATTTTTAAATCTTTACCCTCTACATTCCTAAGATGATTGTTCTCTTTCCATCTTATTTGAATTTAATTTCCTATTAAATTAGACTTGTCAAGTTAGTCATCTAGCAAAGAAAGACTCCTGGCCCATTGTTTTTGCCAAGAGTATACTTTACTGAAGCTTAAGTGATTATAGAAGTAGTGAAGCTGAATCTGAGGTTTTCCTGCACAAACAATACAAAAATTTTCTTCTCCAACCCCTGCCAGCCATCACCCTGTTATCAATAAATGTCCAATTAGGTGCTTGTATATTGTTTAGGAAACAGGTTTTCGGTTCCCAGCTCTGCATTCCAATGGTTCTCCTTTGCTGGCTGAAGCTTCTCACAATTCAACTGGCTCAGCTGGGCTTCTATCCCCCCCACTTCCTCCCTACATTCCAATCTTTCCTTCCCCCATTGCTAATGTCAGCCTGTCAACTCATGAAACTTGGATAGGAAAGAGGCAACCATGATACTTTTGTTTTCATTCTCAAATCTCTGTCTATACTATCTACTTCTTTCCTTGCTTCAAAACAAGATCTTCACTTCATCTTACATAGTAAACAATGACTAGTCCTTAGGTCAGTGGTGGTGAACCTATGGCACACGTGCCAGAGGCGGCACTCAGAGCCCTCTCTATGGGCACGCACACCATGCCCTGGAGATGGCAACCGTCCCTCTTCAACCAGCTGCCCACTAACTTGCTGAGCTCCCATGTGGCCAGATGCATCCCAGCCCGGCTGGTTTCCCTCCCCCCATCCCATCCCTCCTGGTCTCGCATGTTCTCCTTTTCCCGGGCAGGACCCACTGCATTGCCTCCTCAGCTGTCGGCCGGCCATCCAGCTCAGAGGCAGCTTCTCTGAACTGCTGGTGGTGGGCTGCCAAGCCCCAGAGTGTGCTGGCCGATGGGCTGGCAGGCTGTGGCTGCTGACAGACACTGTTGGCCCCCATGCACTCGCCGGCCTCTGTGTGCGGAGGCCCGATGGTGTCAGGCAACAGCCACCCTGGCCCCTGCCTCACCTTGCCCTGCGACAATGGCACTCCCGCCCTGCCTCATCTTGCCTCGCCTCATCCTGCAGGATGAACCTCCTGCCCACCGCCCCATCCGCCAGAGACCCCCTGGATCTCCCCCAACCCTGCCTGGCCCCCACAGGCGTCCCTTTCCATGAGCAACTTCGAAGTGACCATGTCCACCTTGGCCACACCCACCCAGTCTGCCATGACCACCACAGCCATGCCCACCCAATGGGCCATGCCCACCTGGCACCCGGCAATAAATAAATGGGTTTTGAGTTGCAGTTTGGGCACTCGGTCTCTAAAAGGTTCACCATCATTGCCTTAGGTCAATTCATCCTTTCTCTTCGCCTTGATTCTTTATCTCATTAATATATCTCATTATCACTTTACAGCTCAATTTTTATACTTTTATTACCTTTACTAATTCTCTCTCTTGGTTAGTGCTGGTTAGTGCTATCTGAGCTTTCCTAATATTATATTTATAAATCTCAGCTATCTGTATCTGTTATTCGTGTATATACAGTTAACAGACGCTGTGAGCAATTTGTAAACTTACTAGATTTTGGATCAGGGATTATTTTTTTCTTTAGCAGCAAGCTTCCAACAGAAATGCTCCCCTA